TAGGGGGTGGGGTGGGGTGGGGGTGGGGGTGGGGGGGGGGGAGGGGAGAAATTGTCCATTAAAGGATGCCAAGACTCGCAGTGTTTAAAAATGCACAATTAAGGAAAAAAAAACAAAATATTTCACAGCTTAAAAACTCCTGACTGAAAGCCAAATTTTGCTACAGTTGTCGTGGAAGAATGGTCAAGAGAAATGCATCTCTCGCAACTTTTTGATGGCGAAGTAATCTGGTACTACCTCTGTTTACTAGATGGCAAGGGTTCGCAAAACCACTTGATTGTGATGACCACTGACCACTAAGAAGTGGTCGAGTGCACTCTCATTTGATGAAAATTTTAAAACACAAGAAAGGGTCGGGCTCTGTTGCCACCACATGAGTGTTCGCAAGTAGATAGACTAAAAAAAGTAGACTTACAGTGGATTTATCACCGGATTCATCAAGTGGGAAGGTCGTAGACGTGGTATTAGTATTGGCCGAGGTTGCAGTCGAGTAGACACATGGATGGTAGGGGGAGGGGCAAATGTGTTCCAACTCGGGTCGCACTCCAGCTCCAAAGATGAAGCAAGCCAACGCGTGCACATGAGTCATTATTCCCACAGCGTGCATTAGTTCGGAGAGGGAGAGCTTGTCTCCTCGATTAGCCCCGACATCACCTCTTGTCAACTGGTAGATATCATCCTGCCAAAAGCGAAAGCAAAAACAAACCAGTTAAAAGCTACACTAATTTTTGCTTTCAACCGTGAAAATCGCTATAAATTGGCCAGTGAAATACTTCGGGGAAATCTCCTTGATGATGTGGCAGTTTGTGCTCCAAATTCATCCCTATATACTCACAGTGGCACCTTTAAGATACTACACATCACTTACTAAAAGAAATTAGAGCCAGATTGAAATTACTTTGAAGGGTGCTTATGTGACTGTGATAGTTACAATAATCTGTGGCTCCAGAGATTACGGATTCGATACCAACCAATTCACACTCAATGAGAAGAGTTCTCAACCGCATTGACTAGGAGTGGCTATAATGGAGGTTGAGGAATACCATTTCCTCTCAAGGGAGACAATAATGCTATCCTTTAACGCAAACAAGCTCTTAAAAGCGTCTTTTTTCTAAATGGCCCCGAATATTAGTCAGAGAAAAAAGGGACATTTTCCTGATTAGAAGATATTTATGATGTCCTCGATCAACGCATGGACTACAAAAAAGAAATTGGAATTCGAAATTGATTTGGGAATTGGGTTATGCTCATTTTAACCTCCGCTGTCATTTCAGATCGATTTAAACTGAAACATCCTAGGCAATCATGTACTTTCCGTCTCTCTCTCTCAGATAAATCAAAACCGTAAACAGCACATAAAAAAGACCTGTGCAGAATTATTTCAAAACATACACACACACACACACACACACACACACACAGACATAAAAGTGTGCATTCATCTTTTATTGCGTCCTATTTGGGATGTATGGAATTCTTCCACCTTGAAACCTCATAATTAACGTATCTGACGGAACCATATTCTCGAAAGCCACAAGTCAAGTCTACCAAACAGCCTACTACTAGCCTGGAAATGATGCCAAAAAATGGCAACTCTCAGTCATAGATATTGTTTTCATGATCATGGCAAACACTGTTCCAACAACTATAAGTACCCACCCCCCCCCCATACATTA